CCATCAATCTAGCCACTCTCATTCTTCGTAAGATGATTGCTGTCTCTGGTAACAAGCAATTAGGCCTCCCTTATGGTTGTTTAATCAACCGTCTCTTGTCCCGGCTTAAGGTTTCAGTTTTAGAGGACGACGAGTATGCCTCTCCTTCTAAACCCTTCACTAAGAAGATTGTTTCCTAGAGTCGTGCACATGTCAAAGAGGAGTCTACTAGGGTTGGTACTTCTGCAGGTACAACTGATGGTCTTGCTGAAGAGGCGGAGATTGATGCTGCGACAGCTGGTACAATGGAGGCTGATGTTCCACCCCAGACTTTCATAGCCAGCTTCGTCATTTTGACGAGACTGTGACACAGCGGTTGGATCTTCTGGATGCTTGTCTGGATGCCTTCGATGGCCGACTTGGACACTTGGAGCGGTCCGCTGTTCAGACTTCTACTCATTTTGCTCACATCATCTCTTTGCTCTAACTATAGCAGCCTCATCCTTCTCCACCTGATGCTTGATTGAGCTCTGTGTCTCTTGGGCTGTTTTTGTACTGGTCTCCCGCCAAAAAGGGAGAGAATTTTTGGTTTGGTTGGTGGTGGTATATTTTGGATACTTTGGTTATATTTTGTATACTTTGGATATACTTTTTGGTGTTTCATTTGGTTGTTTCATTTTGGATATATCTATTGATTTTGCTGGCTTTCTTTTATTTCATAGACATTTGTTATCTTCTTATGCAGTTCCACAGTTTTAGTCTTTTTTTTTTGTGTGTGTGTGTTACTCTCTGATTTACAGGTGGATGATTGGTGGATTGTTCTAAGCCATTGTTAACTCAACTTTTTGTACGACTTCAGATTTGTTTTCTTATGTCCAATAGGTTGTGTTGGTAAGGTTGTTTAGTGTGTGTGTTTTCAGGAAAATTGTTTGGAGAGTTTTGTCCGGGAATTGACGAAATGGGAGATTGTTAGGTCCCTTTGTTATTGTCAAATCCGCGAACAAACTCTAGTTTATAAAGTTGTAATTTTTTCCTTGTTTTTTGGCTTTCCCGCTCGAGCGGGACCATTGGCGCTCGAGCGGAATGTGTTCTATCTCAATAGTTGGAGATGTTTGCAAAAATACTGAGAAGTGTGATTTCGCGCTCGAGCGTAGGTTCCAGCGCTCGAGCGGAAACTTGTTTATACACATGCGTGTTTTAGTGGATCCGCTCGAGCCGCTCGAGCGGAGTGCGCGGCCCCTGTTTTCTATATATATCTGTTTAAGCCTTATTTTAGGGTTAAGTCTCCTAGATCTATTTTGGGAGCTCTAGGGTTTTGTTTTGGGGTTTGTTTTGCTAGTTTTCTTTGATGTTCTTATTAAGTATTCAACTCATGTGCTGATAAGAAAACATCAAGGAGTTTGTTTCTTCATATTCAAGAGTGTCCTTCTTCGGTGGAATCCGAAGATTCAAGCGTGGAGCGTCAAAAGAGTTTGATACTTTGCGTGGTCATTAATTCGACAATAGAAGTTGTGGATTCAACTTCATACTAGTCAATTCCGAGACGAAGGCTGTGGTGAAAGATTTACAAAAGATTTGAAGACAAATTGGATGCGTTTGGTAATTTTTTAGTTGTCTTTGTAATCTTTCTTTCTTCGGTAGTGGATTGATTAGTGGCGTTTCACCCGTGGTTTTTTATCATAATTGAAGGTGCTTCAATTGTGGTTTTTCCACGAAAAAATCGTTTGTGTCGATTTATTATTTTTAGAAAGCAACAATCTAAATCATTTTCGTAAGTGCTTGATGATTTAGATTGTGTGCTTTCTTTGATTGGGAATTGGAATATTTGAATCTTAGTCTAATCACGAATCACTTAAGATTTTCAAACTCTTTTTTTTATTTGCTGTAATTTATGCTTACAATTTATTAGGTAGAAATTATTTAAATAAATTGAAAACTCTAAGAGATGGGGAGAAGCATTTTGACTTTCAATTATTAATTTTTAATTTAAAATAAGATACACCAAATAAGCACGTCGTATTAATAAGAGATTATGGTCCAAGAAAAAGGGGTTTGAGTTCTTTTCAAATGGAGAAAACTCCAGTTCAATGCAGTTAACTATGCGAGAGAGTTCCATTCAAATTATCTAAATTATTCATATTGTAAACTATTATGTGTCTATTATCAATAATGTTATATACACCAATTGATATATCAATTAGTATACTAACGGATAATATAGTATAATTTTAGAGACTTTGAGTCTTTCTAATTTGTATAATAGGCGGGGTCATAATTTTAAAATGATAATGTCATTACTATGTTGGTACACTAATTAATATAGTAATTGGTGCATGTAGCATCACTGATCTATTATTTATATAAAAAAAAATTTAAATAAATTTAATAATCACAAACATATGATTTTATCAAATTTATTTTTTAGAAATGGCAACAAAAATAGACTATATTCTTTTAAATTAAATCTAATAATCTTAAAGATTATCAAATTAATATTTTTTTTCATAAATAATTTACACATAATATCTTATGAATTATACAATTAATTATCAAAATAATAAATATGATGACACCCACAAATCCAATCACAGGAGGAACCATTGAGGGAATGAGGGGGCCACGTCCCCCAACGTTTTCAAAATTTAATTAGTACTCCTATATTTAAAGAATATATAATTAAATGATTCATGATTATATATCATTAACTAATTTTCTATTTCATAATGTATAGCGCATAATGAGATGATGACCAACTATTTCAAATCTTAATTAATAGTATTAATTTTATTAAGTCAATTTTATTTATATAACAAATATATGTCACTTCTTTTATTTTTTTAAAATTAAAGAGATATGTATACATTTTATTCATTTGATTAGGTCAATTAACAAAATAATTTAAAACACTAGTCCAATCAATATGATGATTTTTAATTCATTGTTCAAAATTTATAAAGAAATGAAAAAGATGAGTTGTTAGATTTATTTAATTTTTTTAATATAAAATACTATTTTTACAATGCTTATGTAACCAATTGACTTCGATTAGTCATATAAACAAAAGTATTCTTTTTTTTCATTTTTTTGCACGCACCTTGGCCTCCCCCTCCCTCTCCCCTAAACAAATTTCTGGTTCCACCCTGAATCCAATGGTATTGAATTGAATTTCGCTCCAACTAACATAAGTCAAATGAAAAACTAATCTAATAAATTCAACATATCTATAATATAATTTTATAATTGTATAGAGTCATATAATTACTTTGAGTAATGTTATGTTTCATGAAAGAATTATTAAAAAAAGATTAATGAAAATTCTCTATTTTTGGATTAATTTGTGATGTTTTATTATATGTTATGCAATCACATATACTAAGGCTTCATTTGGCATGCAACACTTTTAACCTAAAAGTCAAAAAATTATTAAAAAAATCCAAAAGCTTATAACTTATATAAAAAAGTCAGAGATTTATTTTTTTCTCTACTTTTTGCATATCTTTTAGTAAAAAATTAAAAACTCATTCTAAAACACATTAATTTTTTTCACTTCATATTTTACCCAAAAAATCAAAAAAATATTAAAATAGTCTATTTCCAAACGAGGCCTAAGTTACAACTTATCAATCATAAAGCACTATAAGACAAAACTAAATTTATACTATTTACAAATTGAGATTTCAAAATGAAAACATACTAAGGTAAGCCTCTTTTGTTGTTTGGTTATCTACTGCTTTAGATTATTTCTTACAACTATAAGAAAATTTTCCTCATATTTCTTTTAGGAACCTATCATTGCTCAGGTCTTGTTTGACAAGTTAATATTTTAGTTAAAAAGTCAAAAAATTATTAAAAAAGTCAAAAAGTCTACAACATATACCAAAAAGTCAAATATTCTATTTTCTTTCTACTTTTTACACATCTTTTCATAAAAAGTCAAAAAATTACCCCAAATATACTATTTTTTTATCTCATATTTTAACCAAAAAATTAAAAAATTATTAAAATAACATATTCTCAAACAAGGCCTCAATTACATTTCCTTATTCTTTTCTTGTTAATGGGTTAGACTTGACAAAGACTAGCACCAGATTCTATATTCACTATTATTAAGTGAAAGCTGGAATTGACTTTGAGAAATTTTTCTCATATTTCTTTTATGGAACTTATCATTACTCAATTACTTTTCCTTATTTTTTCTTCTTAATGGGTTAGACTTGACAAAGACTATGATCAAATATATTATTAAGTGAATTTTGGACTTAGTGTCCAAGCATTTTCCTCATACTATGCCACATATTTTTCTATCTTAAAATAAAATAAAAAAATTATACAAAGAGATGGTCTACAAGGTATATTTTATTAAAAACACTCTTATCACTTAAGTAACATATATTTTATAATATTAATTTTTTTATTATTTATTTTTATTCTTACTTATTTGCCTTTGTTTGGGAGTATATTATTTTAGTAACTTTTTGACTTTTTATGAAAAAAAAATATAGAAAAGTAGAAAAAGTAATATAACAACGTATAGTGACTTTTTGACTTTTTAAATAAAATGTTTAATCTTTAAACGAGGCCTGAATTGCATACACATCACATGTATCACGCACTAGTTATTTTTAAGAGTATTGCTAGAGCCGTCAACAAAATTACTCAAAAAAATATCCACCGCGCGCATGGGATGAAGCTTACATGATGTGAGAGACTTGCATCTATGTAAGTAGTGTGGAATTCATGAAACCACCGAAAGCAGAAAGCCAGCTATACAATTATCAATCAAGAAAGCTAGACAGCTATATCATTAACAAAGTAACAATATTATATTAACATTATAAAACTCATTTCATTGAATATTGACAAAAAAATAACAAATCACATTTTATATTATAAAATAAACGGTTGAAGTTTAAACTAATAGTTACTGATAATTTACTCATCTATTTATTGGTATTCAATAAAGTTAATTTTTTATATAGATGATTTTATTATGAAATTTATAAGACAAATGATTCGAATCTATACTAATTTCTTTATAACCCTCGACTAAAATTGAGAGTGAAGGGTGAATTCCCGACATCTCTCGGATTAGCTTATCGGATCGGATCATGTAAGATTGGATCATAGACCCGGCCTTGGTTCCCGGTAAAAAAAAAAACAAAAAAACAAAAATACTGAGCTGAATCGCCATCGCTTCTAAATCCTCTTTCCAAGTGGAGACTCTATGGATTGCTTCACAGCGTTGATCTCCAGAGATCTATTCGCCAAAAAAGCCTTGAAACTATGTGTAGGTATCTTTACTGCAATTTGTTTTCCGTTTTACCCTTCTTCATCCTAAAACAGAGTATCTTCGATCAATCTTTTAGGGTTCAATCAATTTTCTTCTTTCCTAATTTAATTATTTCCAAGAACCGCCGAATAAGCATTGTGAAATTGCCTTGTTTGTTCGCGCATAAACTTTTTAGCAATTGGCTTGTTCTATTTGTTCTATTTTTGATTTTATGTCATCAAATTTGTCATTAATTTCAACAGCATCACAACAAATTGAAATAGGGTTGTAGCATTACTTATGATAGATCAATCTCTCATTGGATATCCAAGTGGAGAAACCCTTGAATTGGGATATTAACTGATGCTAGGTTTCATGGGGTTGGTGCTCATAGGTTAGACACGGGTGAGGGTAGCGGTGTGGGATATGTGTCTGACACCCATGCTTAATTTAGGGATTGTTTGGGGTGTCTAAATAAGTGTAATTTTTGTCTTTTTGAACTAAAAAGTTGAGGAAAAAAATATGGATGCTTGGGTTAACTTTTTAACTTTTTATGGAAAAATGTGTATTAAAAAATTGTATAAAGAAGTGTGTAGGAGAAGATTGGAGATGAGGGAATGACAACTATACAATCGGCCAACTGAATTCATGCAAGAAACTATTGGGTACTTTTCGGGCATCGCAGTGGACTGTTTTGTTCGGCCCGTGGGGGCTATTACGGGTCCCATTTTGATAATCTGAATTGTTGAATGTGTAGAACTCGTCGAGCACTATATGCTTATAAAAAATCACATTGATCGGATATCGATAGTTATCTGATTAGATTTGTTTTTTTTCAATCATTAATTATAACACCATTCATTTTTTCATACAAAATTGATTTGATCATATAGTTGTCGATATTCGATCAATGTGATTTTTTTACAGACATATAGTACTCGACGAATTTTACACATTCAACGGTTCAGATTTTCAAAACGGGACCCGTGATAGGCCCCCATTGGCTGAACAGCAGTGTGTCAAAATTGTCCCCAAGCTGTCATACTTTTCTGTCACAACGCTGCACAGCCGAAAAGTAGGAATGATTGTTGAGTTGTATGAATTTGTGAAAAATTAATTTTTTAATATTTTTTTTTTTTTGGTGAATAGTGATATCTTTTAACTTTTTGAGTAACTTTTTGACTTTTTGTCTTTTTTAAGGCTATACAGCATTTGCTTGTCTAATTAGTGTACGATGTTTGAATAAGAAGAAACTCACATTTCCTAATTAAAAAACGTTTCTACATAATTTTAATATGTAATATATTATATGTGTGTTCAGGACGCATCCTATGTATTCAATTTTTGGATATATGTCCCAATATTATAAGATTTAGGTTTATGAAGGTTCTATGCTTGGATATGCATTAGGAAATTTGAGGTTTGATAGAGAGGTAATGCTATGTTGAACACAGGTATTTCTTATGGTCCTTTGAACAAATGAGAAACAAAATATGAAAATAAATAAATAAATAAACTCCTCTGCACTCAATCAGATATCATTTTATGATCTGAATTCAAACAATTAATTTTATCATTCCTGTGATCAGGAGGAACACTGGAAAATATTAGCGAAAAGGAAACTGGAGATTCCCCAACACCTTGGAGTGAATAATAAACCAGTGACTCCTCCATTTCAAAACACTATACATTGTCTCAATATCAACTTAAAAACTTGCATGTTTATTGGGCTTAAAGGTCATGAATAAAACACTCATGTTAGGAAATATTACTCCAGGAATTTTACAAAAAGCAATCAAAGATTTCAAAGTTAAAGGTGTCATTATTTCATTGAGGTTCGAAATTTTGATCTCTGCATTATTTTGATGAAATTAAATGCCAAAATTGGAAGTTATATGTTTCTCTGGTGTTGTATTACAAGTTATAGGCAAAAAAGATGAACATTTGTGCATGAAAATAAAATATCTGGGTAAGATTCATATTTTTGTATTGTTTATCCAATTAATATTTTGTCATATTATTGTATAACAGGACACTTGATCCAATTTTGCAGCCAATCATTTCCTACCATTTGGCTTTGGCACTACGACATTCACAGTCAGCAAGTTTTTTGCAGGTGTCTTCGTCTATGTCAGGGCACCAATTTCGGTCACTCATTTTTTTTCACTGTTTTCTCAAAGTACGCTAACAGCAAGATTAGGGTGCAAAATTAGAATTTAGAAGTAGCACAGTATAAACAATTAATCCTGAACATATTTTACTGGCATTTATACTTTCAAATTCATACTTCTTCATCTAATGGCCTCTAAACATTTTTTTGATTCCTCAAGTGACAGATTGAACTAGGGCCTTGGCCTAGTGGTTGTGTAGCACCACCTTGTGGTGTGAGCTTGCGAGTTCAACTCCTACGAATAGGAGTTTCATACTTGTCATGTTTATTCCTCCTCCCTTATGGGAGTTGTATGTAGTAGTTGCTTTTTTCTTCCCAGGTTTGGGTTAGTAGTGGTTGCTGTTTATTTCTTCCCAAGTTTTTGGGCTAGTGGTGGTTGCTGGATTTCGTGATTGTTGGCTTTCTAGCTATTGTTGGGCAAGTGGTTAGTTTAATGTAATATTTCTTATATTTGTAATTACACTTCTACCGATTGACAAAAAAAGTGACAGATTAAAGTCAAAATCTTATTTGAATTAACTGCATGAAATTTCCCTATTCTTGAATGCACTCTGCTTTTGTTTACATACACATTAGTCCCGTTGGATTATTGCTGATTTTGTTGATTTATGCATATATTACATGAAGCATCCTGATATGCTTATATGATGTCCAAACAATTAGATTGTATATGGACTGCTAAAACTATAGATTTTTTGTACGTGTGAAATTGAACAAATAGTAGGATAGGAACCCATATAATGGAGGATTAGGAACCTCTTTTATGCAAACATAATATTATGCGAGTGCAGTTAAAACTCTTAGTTTGCCATTGCTTGTGGCCGTATGTTGTGCTTCTGAGTTGCAGGGCAGGAAATAGAAAAGCCTATCAGTAATTTGGGGAGTTTACAGTAGCATTACCAAGTCTTAGAGGACTTGGATCCAGCGAAGCGAATGTCAGGAGCTCTGTGTCATGTTCTAATATAGCCATTTCTTGTTCATCCAAGGTCACCCATGCTTCTATTCCATCGCCACTTCTTGTTTCCATCAAAATGATAAGGTTCAAGAACACTGAACCCCCTGAACAACCAACACCACTAACCCATAGAGGTTTTCCCCACCCAAAATCAGCCTCATAGAAACCAAGCTTACACCAGCTTGTGAAGCCAAAATAATCCACTCCTCCATCTTTGGAGCCTGGCCCTTCTATCATATTGGGGGATTTACAGATCACATTAGACCGTTCATTGCCTCGTAGTTTCTTTATAAAGTCATTGTTAATTTTTGATATTCCTTCCCTCACCTGACCCACCAAGCCCCGCAATCCCAGCTGATCATGCCTAGCTGTGCATTGCGCACTTGCTATCCAAATGAGGTTTCCAATTGAATGTTCCATCAATGGTGGCATAGTTCTCCTTCGCAGATTCACTACATGGCTTAGCAGAGAAGGCTTTGGGAAACCACGAGTTTCTTCTGAGGCCGCCATAGCACACTTCCATATGAAAGCAGAGACAGACTCAACTTGTGTTGGGTTCTGTACGGAATTGCTGGCTGCTTTCACCTTGAGGGTAGTGATAGCCGAGGCTTCAAATGCAAATCTCCTTGTGGTACACTTTCCCATCTTGAATAAAGAACCCCACATGACAATTGATGAATCTCTAAGCCACAAATCATTTGTGGGGAAGAGAGAAGTTGCAATGAATTCAGGGTATACAACTTCTTTAGATCCACAAGCTGTGGCAGACCAGCCTTTCACAAAGGTGCTCAGTGCAGCCCCATCAAGGATTTTATGTGAAATGCAGAGTCCAATAGCAATCCCACCACATTCAAATATGTTTACTTGAATGTTAGTCACAGGAGCTCCTGCTACTGACCCCTTGAAACTGGTTTCACAGGGAAGGAATAGATGTATCGCCTGGAGATCTGGCTGGCACAGAAAGTCAGGAAGGCGACAATTAACTTCGGCCTGCACGTAATGAGCCCCTACATCATTGCAGTTGATGGTGAGGTCATCTTCAATCTTTCCTGCGAGTGGGTAGAAGCGAGTTAAGGTTTTGGATAGTGATTTCTTCAACACCCGTAAGCTTTTCAGGACTTGGAGATTGGTAGCACCATCCTCAGTGGGATAAAAGAAGACAAGTGGAGAGTTAAAACTCATAGTCTGGTCCAAGAGGGAGAGCTTGAAGGTTCTGAGGTGATGGGGTGTTGGGGAAGATGGTTTGATGCTCTCTCTGGAAACAACTTAAACTTCCATCATTTGAAGTTCGTGGAAGTACAGCTGGTTAGATCTGATAAATGTTTATATATATGCACACACTCAAGTGCAATAAGATCCAGATCTCTTGTAGATGCTTTGGAATTTGTCTTGTTTGTATTTTTAAAGAAAGGAATCCTTCTAGGCAAGGTGCATGATTACTTGAATTTGTGCACATTGGAAGCAGTCCCATTCCAATCTTAACATATAGTAGTTGAGAATCTTTATATTAGTTTAAGACATTCTCAGTAGGGTCCCATCCATTGAACTTATTTGGTAAATTGTTTTCCGAAAACTGTTTTTGGGCAGTATTATATGGACTCTCTATTTTTCCCACAGGAACTGTGTCCACCAAGATCTGGCAAGGGTAACGGTGTGAGATATTTGTTTGACACTCATATCCAATTTAGACACATGGATTCTCTAATTTTATAGATATCTGAAAAAACAAAACTCACATTTGCAAGTGAAAAAATATTCTTACCTCTCACAAAGATGCGAGATTGAAATTTCATATTTTTTGCCTTGATCCTTTTTTAATTCCAGTATATTCCTAAATAATTTGCATCATTATAAGTATATTGTATATGTGCAATTAATGTTAGTGTTCAGGAAAATACCCGTAGTCATAGTCATACCCAAGTTTTGAATACACATGTCTTAATTTCTTAAGTTTTAAGTTTTAAGTTTACAAGGTACTCCTGCCCATGTAGCATAGGTTCTCGAAAAAATTTCAAAGAGTAAGTTGTTTAAGATGATCTAAATAAGTGTATTTTTTTATCTTTTTACGAAAAAATATGCAGAAAAGTTGAGAGGTGATGTGATAGAAAAAAGATAAAAAAAAATAAAAAGATTGATTATTTTAAGGATGCCAAACTTAGCCTAAATCACTTTCTAAGAAATTTTTAAAAATTGTTTTTGAATTTTGAAAAACGTTTTTCACATAAAATATAAACTATGAAAATCATGGGTGTTTTCAAATTTTTTATTGTTTTTGTTTCGAAAAATATAAACAAAAATGATGAGTACAAAAGCACAGCCAAACAGGTTATTGTTTCTCACATGTCAGTTATAACGTTGAAGTTAAGCTTAGGTCACCATTTAGATTAGAGTGAAGTGCTTGCCAATCTGGCCAAAGTTTCCCTTTCAACGATAACCGTGCATTTCATATCATATTAAACAACGATCATGATAAGTTTGCATTAATCTATAGCATTTTAAAAATGATTTTTCAGTGTTTTTAACTCCACTGATATTCCGTTTGTGTTGCAGCCAATGAGCATGATGTTACTGCCGCTATGCCACCAGTGCGTTATGGTTACCAGTGACATGGACCTTAAAGTATTTTAAACTGCTGTTATCTCACACCAACTTATTGATTAGGATATATATATTTTTTTTTTTTTTTTTTTTTTTGATGGGTCAAGGTGTGCCGTCTTGCTTGTCCAACACCATGGAACACATTACTAGTAATGGGATCTTGATTCTAACAGGACAGTACTCTTCTCAGCTTAAGAGTGATGTGGGTGGGAGTGATAAAGGTTCTGTAGTCTCTGCTAATGAAAATAGCAGTGTTAAAAATTAAACCTTACCCTTTTTTATTTTGCATGTGCAGAAAGTAACTTGAAATATTTGATAGCATTTATACTTTCAAATTCATTGTTCCTCATCTAATGACCTGTAAACATTTTTTGAAGTGACCTTATTATATTGAAGTCCAATCTTATTTGAGCCAACTGTATGAAGTTTCCCTCTGCCTGAATGCACTCACCTCTTGTTTACATACGCATTAGTCCCGCTGGATTATTCCTGATTTTGTTGATTTGCAAAGATTACATGGAGCATCTAGGTGTTCTTATATGTCTGTATACTATTAGATTGTACACAGGCAGCCAAATCTATAGGATTTTTGGACATGTGAGATCAAACAGATAGAAGGAAACCATCTAATGGAGGATTAGGAACCCCTTTTATGCGCTTGCTAACATAGTATTATGCAAATGCAGTTAAAACTCATAGTATGCCATTTTGATTGTGGCCATATGTTGTGCTCATGAGTTACAGGGTAGGAAACAGATAAGCCTTTCTGTAATTTGGGGAGTTTACAGCCGCAATATTACCAAGTTTTAGTGGACTTGGATCCAGCGAAGCAAATGTCAGGAGCTCCATATCACGTTGTAATATAGCCATTTCTTGTTCATCCAATGTCACCCATGCTTCTATTCCATCGCCGCTTCTTGTTTCCATCAAAATGATGAGGTTCAAGAACACTGAGTCAGCTGAACCAACACTGCTAACCCATATAGGCTTCCCCCACCCAAAATCTGCTTCATAGAAGCCGAGCTTACACCAGCTGGTGAATCCAAAGTAATCCACTCCTCCATCTTTGGAGCCTGGCTCTTCCATCATCTTCAGGGACTTGCAGATCACATTAGACCGTTCATCGCCTCGTAGTTTCTTTATAAAGTCGCTATTAATTTTTGATATTCCTTCCCTTACCTTGCCCACCAAGCCCTTCAATCCCAGCTCATCATACCTGGCCTTGCAGTGCGCACTTGCTATCCAAATGAGGTTTCCAATTGAATTTTCCATCAAGGGTGGTATAGTCCTCCTTCGCAGATTCACCACATGGCTTAGCAGAGAAGGCTTTGTGAAACCACAAGTTTCTTCTGAGGCTGCCATAGCACATTTCCATATGAAAGCAGAGACCGCCTCAACTCGTGTTGGATTCTGCACAGAATTGCTGGCTGCTTTCGCCTTGAGGTTAGCGATGGCAGAGGCATCAAATGCAAATCTCCTGGTAGTACACTTTCCTATCTTGAATAAAGAACCCCACATGGCAATTGATGAATCTCTAAGCCACAAATCATTTGTAGGGAAGAGAGAAGTTGCTATGAAATCAGGATATACAACTTCTTTAGACCCACAAGCGGTGGCAGACCACCCTTTCACAAAGGTGCTCAGTGCAGCCCCATCAAGGATTTTGTGGGAAATGCAGAGTCCAATAGCAATTCCACCACACTCAAAGATGTTTACTTGAATGTTAGTTACATGAGTTCCTGCTACTGACCCCTTGAAACTGGTTTCGCAGGGAAGGAATCGATGTATCACCTGGACATCCGGCTGGCTCAGAAAGTCAGCAAGGCAACAATTAACCTCGGCCTCCATGTAACAAGCCCCTTCATCGTTGCAGTCAATGGTAAGGTCGTCTTCGATCTTTCCTGCAAGTGGGTAGAAGCAAGTTAAGGTTTCGGATAGCGATTTCTTTAACACTTGTAATCTTTTCAGGACTTGGAGATTGGTAGCACCATCTTCATTTGGATAAAAGAAGACAAGTGGAGCATAAGGAGCAGGAATGAGGCTGGTCCAATAGGGAGGAAGGTTCTGAGGTGATGGGGTGTTGGGGAAGATGGTTTGATGTTCTCTCTGGAAACAACTTCTACTTCCATCTTCATTCGATATCTGGTTGATGTTTTTGGAAGCACAACAGGTTAGATCTTTATATAGGAAAAAGCTGCAAGTGTCAAATTTTCTACTAAATAAATGACTAAATGTTTTACATGATATAAAATCGACAGAATTGCAAATTTTACACTCATATAAGACATTTAATCATTTATTTAGTAAAAAATTTGATATTCCTAAGCTTATTCCTTTATATATGTTTATATATTTGCACATAAAACACATAGTATTCAAGTGGGATAAGATCAAGATCTTTATTTGATGCTTTAAATTTGTCTTGTTCGTTGGTATTTTCAAAGAAAGGAATCCTTCTAGACAAGGTCATTATGACGCCTTGAATTTGTGCGCATGGGGAGCAGTCCCTTTCTAATCGGACCCTAAGGTAGATACGTCACGTGGCATCCTTCAAGAGTTGCACCATGGATTTGCTTAAGGTAAGCAGGAAGAAAGAGAGGAAGGTAAAAGGGAGGAAACCCTACCCATTTCCAAGCTAAGAGGCTACCTTAGCCATCAGAGGGCCTAAGAGGAAGACACCCGCAGGTGGATCCTCATGGTTTTGTTTTGCAGGATAACGAAAGCGAGGAGTTAGACCAGACTTCGTGGATCACGTCTCTCCTCAACCATTGGGTCTTGCAACTAATATCATAAATTTTTATAATTTTAACAAAATTACATTTACATTGAGTATTTTTAAAAGATTTTACTTCAACTAACACTTCTTCATTTTTTCATCAATAATTTATTAGTTTTGTCATATCTTTCAGATGAAAACGTATTTTTCTCTTGTTTATTTTTATATTTTCACACCATCTATATTAATGAAGTCTTTTTAGCATTATTAAAATGTAGATCGATATAATTATGTTAAAATTATAAAATTTATTGTATTTTTTTATAAAAAAAAAGAAAGAAAAAGAGATGAGGATAATTTACTTAAAATGGAAACAAAAGCAAAAATAAAAACTAAACAGGCTACAATATACAGAGCATTGTTATTTAAGATATAAAAAAAAATTAGATTTAATTTTAAATTCAATAATACAACAATCAATTCAGATATTAAATATAATATTTTTATAAATTTTTTTTAATCATCAAATAATCATATCATTTATTTATTTTTATTTATTTAACAAAGCATATCATTTATGTATTATTAAGTTTATAAAATAAGTCTAAAAAATAAACTTCTTTATCATTTTTCTAATATTAATAACTCAAGCATGTCATCCAGAGTTGTAATAATTAAAGTTAAAAACATAGGTCACCTCACCACCATAATATAGATTTAGAAGAGGCGTTTGCCAGGTTCGGCTGATGCTTCCCTTTGAACGATAATCGTGTTTGATACGTCTCTTTCTTATTTTATTATATTATATTATATATTGAACAACGATCATGATAAGTTCATACTCATACATAGTAATCTTGTTGCATTTTGTCAAAATGAAAATGATTTGTTTTAAGTGTGTGTTTGACTCTGACTGATCTGCTATGCCACTTCCTTGTTTTGTGGCCATTGAGCAATGACGTTGCTGCCCGCATGTCACTGTTACCTGCCACACAAACTCTAAAAATTAAATTTTATTTATATGACAATGAAAAAAATAAAATAAATAAACATCACATTAATGAGTGGGTTTTATATATTAGAACTCTTATTTTAAAGTTATTAAACATTTTTGTAAAATAGAGAGTACTGAGTTTTATAATTTTAACTAATGCTAAGGGTGTATTTGATAACGTTTACGTTTTTAGTTTATATTTACAAAAAT